CGATGGGGAATAAAGTCGCGCATTGTCCGTTCTTCGGGGCGCATCGAGAGATCGTTGCATTCATTGCGCGCAAAGAGGGAGAGAATCGACTCGGCACATCCGCAGCTTGTTAAAGAACTTTCTTAACAAAATCCCCGCCGAGGGAAAAACTTAATTGAATGAAACGCCGAGTGGAAGCGCCGAAAGGGGAGAGAGATGCGAAGTTAACGAGGGGAGAAAAATGACGAGAGGGGATCTCTCGGTCCCAGGTCGGATTCCTCCTCCATAAATCCTCATTGGCCGAAATTAGCGGGACTAATTAGAGTTTGAGAATTTCGCCAGGAATAACGTAATGGGCGGTGCTGTGGGGGAGCTCGAAGTTTCATTAAAAAATGCCGCTTCTCGTTACCCACCTCGAAGACCTCGACCTGGTCCTCGAGACCCTCTTCAACCCCTCCTGGATAGAGCGTCGTCGGTCAAAAAATCATTTCCACCTTGGAGAGCCTAATCGGCGTTTACAGGAGATTATATTCCCTCGGCGGGAAATAAAATCTCGGAATCGTCGTCGGCATTTTGGTCCCCGAAGACCTGGACCGGATCCTCCCTTCGAGGAAGAGGTGACTTCGATTTCCGACCTTTTCTCTACTCTGCAGGGGAAGGCGGAAAATTGGAAAAGGAGTTCCCTCCCCAGTTTACGATCGGCGATAAACGCAATCCCTGGTTGCGGTCTTCTTTAATTACTATCGATCCTTACGTATCGAGGGTGCCCTGGGGCGACTTCGTTCCCCGATCGGCAGAGTTATCCCGGGGACGATCCTCGGGAACGATCCAGACGTCGCTGGAGACACTTCTTCCCGTAAAGTCGTTCCCGCGGTTACGGTCGGTAAACATTTCTTTCCAATTCACGGGAAAATGTTCCCCCGCGGCCTGGATGGCCGATTAAAGGGTTTATCGTGGGGGTGATAACTCGGGTCGGATTCAATTCGTGGACGCGCGTGCCGGGGGAACCCCTTCCCGATAGCAACTGACGAATCGAATTCGAAGTCGATGTTGCACCTGAATTTATTTTCCGCTTCTCCGGAAACGCATGAAATCGGTGCGTTGGAGGTGGAACTTCTAAATTCAAGAGGATTATTAAATATTATTAATTATTCTCGATTATTTACGAACTACCCTAAGCGCTCGAAACTGGTCGCTTTGCACGTAGTTATATTTATTTCTTGCTTGTGTTATTTGTATTTCATTTCAAATCTCAATAATTAATAAAAACGTTTATACAAGTTTCATTAATATTCAAACGTGAAGATGAACGGTAAGAAAATGTGTCTCACTTTCCAAAACGGACCTTTTTTATAATATGCGAATTTCACGTATTACCGTGCAAGAAGTTTCCTTTAAACACACCCTCGGAATATTTTTCCCTCGAAGGAAACGACTGAGCTGCGTTAAAGGGGGTTGAAACATTTTCAGAAGGTAGACGTTGCAGCTGCGCCGAAATTTGACGTCATTTTGTTGTGTCGCTTGAAAAAGATTGGAAGGACGTTCTCCTCTTCCAGGGGGATGATAGAGTGATTTATGGCTGATGATATAACGCTACTCGGGGATGGATTGAAAATTTCGAAATTGCAGGTGCAAGCGACGGTGTCCTATCATGCGTCCCCCCGGGGTATGGATTTCACCTGTCTGATAATTCGGTAAATTTTTACGATGATGGTCGAAATCTGCCTCCAGGGAGTCTCTCCATTTTTCCGCGAGTAATTATTCCACCCTTTCTACGGCTGCGCCCACATGACAAATTGATAATGACTCGCAAAGTGCACTTCGGGCGAGAAGAATCGCAACGTCGAATTAAATCGCTCTAACCCGTCAATAGATTCCTACGGAATGGGGGAATTACGAGGTCGGATGAAATTACTGCTGATCATCAACGGCGGCTGACGGGAATTGCGGGAGAGGGTTAAACCTGACCTAGGATCCTGCCAAGAGAGCCGGAGAGATCGAATTATTATCAAGTACGTCCTGGGATGTTCTGGCTCTCAAGAAAATTACTCGTTCGTGCAGCAGATGGAACCGGGCGAAAGGAAAGGAACAAAAGTGCCGGAAAGGAAAGCTGCAAACGAAATTCCGGTTCCTCGTGGTTACCGGAAAGGTATCGAGATGGCGAGTCCTTTCTGGATCCGGTAGTCCTTCCTGAGGACCTTCTTGGAGATCTGGAGTTAATTTCCCAATGTAATTAAAATTCACTTGGCTGAGTCCATAGTTCGGAGTATTGGTCTGGTTGGATTTCAGTTACACTCTTTGCCAGGAAGTTGAAGGATAATCTCCTCCTCTTTGATTTCGGGGCTGAACTGAAGATCCTGGAAACGCGGTCGAGAGGAGTCGAGGAACTTTTGAATTTGCGTAGTGATGAACATATGGAAGATCAAGAGAAAGACTGTGCAGCTTCTTGGTCTTGGTTCTGATCTTGCATACTCGAGTGTTGACTTTGTTCGGGCGAGTTTTGGTTTTGGTTTTGGTGTTGTTCTTAGTCTTCCTCATTTCGCGAGACATTGTAAGATCATACCGATAATCGGTATAATGGAATAAATGTATAACATAATGTTCATCATCACCATTTAGTGATGAGCAATTGCAAGATCAAGACCACCATGGTCTTGGTTCTGGTCTCGCTTTTGGTCTTCCAAATTTCGCGAGATCAAGAACATTGTAACGCCAAGACCGATTATGTTCATCACCACTTCGTGATGAGTAAATGCAAGATCAAGAACACCATGCTCTTGGTTCTGGTCTCGTTCTTGATCTTCCAAATTTCGCAGATCAAGAACATTGTAACGCCAAGACCGATTATGTTCATCATCACCACTTAGTGATGAGTAAATGCAAGATCAAGAACATCATGGTCTTGGTTCTGGTCTCGCTCTTGGTCTTTCAAATTTGGCGAGATCAAGAACATTGTAACGCCAAGACCGATTATGTTCATCATCACCACTTAGTGATGAGTAAATGCAAGATCAAGACCATCATGGTCTTGATTCTGGTCTCGCTCTTGATCTTCCAAATTTGGCGAGACCAAAAACATCGTAAAATCTAAAACCAATACCGATTGTGCTCATTTAGTTTCGTGCAAATATAGGATCAAGACCATCACAGTGTTGGACTTGAACTTGCACATTTTGTAGGATCAAGACCAAGACCGAAATACTCGGAGCGACTTTGTTCATCACTAAAATCGCAATTCGAACGAGAGAAAAAGCCAGCGGAGAATCTAAAGCTCGAGGAAGCGGTCGGGTGTTTTTTGCCCAGGAATGCAATCTCATCCCTGCAGGACTCCCGATCGAGTCCTGCAGCATCCCTTTGTGCAGCGTCAGGCCGAGCTCTCTTTGAGCAGCCTCCCCTCGCCGAGTCCCGGAGATCGGCAATTAAAGGAGCATTTTGATCCTCCGTCTCCGCTTCCGGCAAATCCGGCCGGATCGTTCGGTATCGGGGAAAATCGAGTTGGTCATTTCACCCGGAAATGATTCATCTTCCGGAAAGCCATCGTTCCCCGAAACCGCCCGGATATCGGAAAACCTCCGCGAGGACGCGAGCCCGGAATCCCGAAGGAATTCCTGCTCGACCGGGTTCAGGAAAACGTTTACAATTTTTTCTCATTACTTTTTAAGTGAAACTTCTTGCGGTACGACAGTACACGTAAGTTCACATATCACGAAATTCGGAATTAATATGAATTAAAAGGCCTTATTTGTTTTCTTTTACAATGACTTACAATTTACAATTATATTTTTACGTTAGCTTCAATTGGCGTAAACGTCTCAATTAGTACTGGGGCGCTATTCCCTCGGTTAATCATAGATATTATTATATTATAAGTTCCATCTGATCAACACGGGTGATGGTAACGCACCGTTTTTTTTTTATAACAGTTATCTATCCGCGCAATTCGGTGCTGCAATTTTATCACTTAATTCCAGGGAGTCGAGGCTCTTTCCTCCAGGAGATAATCGTGAAGGAGTGACGCGGGAACATTTTTTTCAACGAGAGTCGTTTCACTTAACGTCTCATTCGGGCGCCGATAGGGTCCAGCCGTGAAGAGCGTCCATCTTGGACGAGTGACGAAATTCCCCAGAAGCGTTTCCCCCCCTGACGCGATAAAGAGCATCGTAAAGCGGGAAGGGAAATCGGAAAACGAGTAAGACGAGAAGGATATGACGTCGATATGGCCAGGGAAATGATTTCTCACGCGAGCCTGGAGCGTCCTTCGGGAATCGCGTTATCAGGGACCCGATTGACTGCATCGATCGAGGTTTATCGAATATCCTCCGAATCGCGGCCCATCCCATTCCCGATCTCCCGCCAAATCTCCTGAAAATTGTCCCGCAGGACCAAGGACTCCTCCCCAAGATCGCTCTTTATCTTTCACCCGCGGAAAATCTCCCGCAAAAATTCATAAGATGGATGGACCATATTTCGCGTTCGATAAAAAAGAAAAAGAAAAAAGAAACGTTGACAAGGAGATAACCAGAAAGAGGGTGAGGTGGAAAGGATACGCGGATGACGCGGCCGTGGGAACACTTTTTCCCGCGATCCTGGAGCTTCCTCCGGAATTCCGTTATCCCCGGTCGATCGAGGTTTATCGAATATCGGCTGGAGATGCCCTCCTTCTCCTCGATCGCATCCTGTTCCTCCTCTGGAAATATCCTAGGACCAGCAGGACCAACCGAGTGTCCACATCCGGATTAATGTGCCCCGCGGAAGTGGACATCCTCTATATCTCCAGGATCTCGAAGGACGAGCAGGAATCCTGCCGGGTTATTTCCTGATGAAACCGCGAACTTCCTCTCTCGATCGGTCGAAATTAAAATGGAGCAAGAAGGTCGAACTGCAGACCTCCAGGAAGTCGCTTAATAGTAGCCTTAGGGTGGAGCCAAACTAACGTGCGTCACAACGGACGTTACAGTTACATTTTAACGAACGCATTTCGCTCATGGATCCATTAATCTCGATGGATCACAACATCTACGATGGATGTTGAAACGCATACTGTGTACCTAGCTCTAGGCTATGGCCACCCCACCACCAAAACCGACGTACGTCACAACGGACGTTGTACTTTAACCACAACAACGCACGTCGCTCGCGTATCCACCTCAATGAATCATAGCACAATTCTACGATACATGTTCAAACGCCTCCTGTGGTCCTATTCCTAGGCTAAGGCCATCCTAGCATCGAATCCGACGTGCGTCACAACGGACGTTACATTTTAACAAACCCATTTCGCTCATGGGTCCATTAACCTCAATGGATCATAACATACTTCTATGATAGATGTTGAACCGCCTCCTGTATTCCTAGTCCTAGTCTATGGCCACCCCACCACCAAAACCGACGTACGTCACAACGGACGTTGTACTTCGACTACAGCAACGCACGTCGCTCGCGTATCTACCTCAATGAATGATAACACACTTCTACGATGCATGTCGAAACGCCTCCTGTGGTCCTATTCCTAGGCTAAGGCCACCCTAGCATCGAATCCGACGTGCGTCACAACGGACGTTACATTTTAACAAACCCATTTCGCTCATGGGTCCATTAACGTCAATGGATCACAACATACTTCTACGATGGATGTTGAAACGCCTCCTGTATTCCTAGTCCTAGGCTAAGGCTACCTTAGCATCAAATCCGACGTGCGTCACAACGGACGTAATATTTTAACAAACGCATTTCGCTCATGGGTCCATTAACCTCAATAGATCACAATATACCTCTACGATGGATGTTGAAACGCCTCGTGTGGTCCTAGTCCTAGGCTAAGGCCACCTTAGCATCAAATCCGACGTGCGTCACAACGGATGTTATATTTTAACAAAAGCGACGCACGTCGCTCGCGTGTCCACCTCAATGTGTTCCAATATACTTCTACGACGAACGTTGTAACGAAGGACGACGAAACGACGCTCGCGTGTCCTTATCAGGGCGATCCTCCGATGACGCAGTTCTTCTACCCCTTATTAATCCCCGGATTCCGCCAGACTACTCCGCAGGATCACGACTTTGACGGGGATTGGCGTTCCCAAGATCTGAAATAAGTTTGCAACATCTTGACAAGGGCACTCTCTCCCTCGCAGTTAACCCCCTAACGACAGTCGACAGGCTGAAAAATGAAGGCCAAGCGAGGGTAACAAATGACCATATCGCGAACGTTGACGGTTGACGTATTACGATTTACGCCATAGCCCTCTTTTACTCCCGCCCCCGCAAACCCACCCCCGATCCACCAAGAAGCCCCATCGAACCAGCCTTAAACGAGATTGGCAGTACGGCGATTGTTAAACAACACGTTTTACGGAAATGGAGCTCCTCAGGGCGAGGGGGTGCTCTTTGCTTTTATTTCCCTTCGAGAAACTGCCCCAGGATCTTCTGTACTAATTAAAGAAAAGACTCCACCCCAGCCGGGATTGGAAAAGTTGCGAATCGGAGGTGGAGGATCCTCCCTTGTATCCGAGTACTCGTTCATCGAGTACCCGAAGACCCCCTCGAAGGCGATTTCCACCCTTCCTGGCTGTTTAAATACCGGGTCCGAAACCTCCCTCGGGCTGGACACTTGAGAACTTCTCGATGGAACAGCCCTGGGTGGGGTGTGTTTTGAAGACGGTAATTAGTTCGCGTTGAAGGGATGTTTCGCAGGTGCTTGATTCCGGTGGAGGGGCTCCTAAATGGGGTGTTATATCAGCTACAGGTAGGGATTTGGGAGTGCGGTATCTAGGGTGAGTTAATTCCGATGACGCTCGTTATTTCGGGCCATTTGGAATGGTCCGGATGGCACCTGGACTGGTGTCGCTGATCAAAGAGCACAATATGGCCTTCCCGATCCCGGGTCGTGTAAGACAACTCGAGTAACTCCTCGGGAAGGGCTTAACCGGGACGTAGGTGGCGTGCCCCGGGTCCTGGGGCCGGAATTCGGACACGTATAGTTAGGACTTGGATAGGGTTGGATTAAATTTACCTACGCAGACATTCGCCGGAACTTGGAGGGGCCGTCCACGAACAGTGCAGGTAGTTATGCCTCCTCCGAAATCCAGATGGGTTTTGCGAGCGTCTCCTGAGTAGTTTCGATGGAATTATTAGTGCCCTGGATCCCGCGCCGTCTGGTCCGCAATTGGGGATGGTCCGAGGGTCCTCCAGGGTCCAGCCTGGAATCGGTAACTCGATTTCCTGAAAAGTCAGCTCTGAAATTCTGACCAAGTTCGCTACTCACGTATCCGTTTAAGGCTCCTTCTCTCGTGTAATCGGCAACGTTAAGGTGAAGTGGAACACGCCCAGGAACTTGATCGACGTCGGTGAAAGAGGTTTTTCTAAATACCTACGTTGCCAACGTTCGTTTTTATATTGACAGAATTATATTGAGTATTGTTTGAAAAATTGCCGAATTATATTGAGTATTATACTAAATATCATACTCCATCTTTCGGTTTCGTACAATAATTGTAAAGAAATCGAAGTAAAACTTAAGAGATCCCCTGGATTCATGGTTTCCAAAGCTCTAATTGACTACAGACGGACACCCTGCGCCATCTGTGATTTCCGTGCCAACCTCATATTACCATCCTTTTAGCATAGCAGCGCATAAGACACTTTATTTTTGCTTTTATCTCGTTAAAGTACAAGTGTATCGATTACCAAAGTTTTCTAAATTGTCGTACAATAGTCCTGACCCTTTCGTTTCTTCTATTAGAGCCTTCAATAATTGTATATCAATCGAAATATGAGAGCTCGACACCATTTTGGTTCAGGCCTGGGCTGAATTAAAAAATTTGTTTCAAAAATCTAAATTTTGAAAGTGTCAGGATTATTCCTAGGTGCTCACGAGTCACGTGTCAAAGTTTCAGACGGTTCGATCCAAAACCCTTGAAAAAAAATGTCTTATTCGAACCGATTGACTTGAGGGGGATTTCATTTCACCTTAAGGTGATGTGACAGTGACTGACGGGTTTATCGTGTATGATACTTTTCTCGAAACCGGGTGTACCGAATTTTTTGAAAGTTTACCATATAAATAAGATGGCCCCGATGTAGGTCCTAATATCTATGAAACTTAATTTTTTATAAAGAACTTTATAAATGCTTGTAAACAAATTGTAAAAAATGAATCTTCACGGGTCTCTGGGTAATTCTTAGGGCTTCCGATCTTTTTTAAGTAGTACGTTTTCAGGCGACTAGATACTCCTAGTTCGGAAAAAAGTTTCATCGACGAAATGAGACATATTGCCGACAGAAATGGTAGGTATAAATTCTGTTACTTTCTTCGTTATGGTACCTTGGAAGATACTAGGGTGCTACGAGGTAAAATATTAAACGATTCAATATCGACTGAAGAAATAAAATTATTATGCAGTTTTTGTGGCGAACTGGGTTTCATCAAACCCATTGATTTGCAAGGTTTCCCTTATGGGATGTTTCGGACTATGTGTGTATGTGAATTGTTCTTCCAAGGTGGAGAATTAAATTTGGACAACGTGCCCATCAGGTACGCGTAATTACATGGATCTTGTGGTACTTTCGAAAGCGTATGGAAGGACCAGTTGGCACGACTGCCAGTTGGCAGCCTCGACGCACCCCCAATTTTCGAAACAGCCGAGTCCGTCTAAGTCGCTCCTCTTTCTCGTGTCGCACCCCTGGAAATCCCCCGATGTTTATTTCTGGAGGAGTGTTCGCTCCCGTCCTTCCTCCAGGATTTTCCTCCCAGGCTCGAGATACGTCCCGGGAGAAAGGGGGATCCCAGGACGAAGGATCGAGGACTCTCGAGGTGATTGATGTCCCGCTGGCGACATCCCGGGGGGAAGTATCTACTCGGCCGAATCAGGACTCGCCTAAGGACAACCCTTGGCCTGGACCTCCTCCAGGATCGGCGGATATTGGAAGCCCATTTGTACCTACGAGGTCCTTGTATCTTACCCTTGGCCCAACACTCGCCACTGTCCACGTCCTTAAGAGGATATGAAAGAGTTAGCCTATATATATCTGAGAAGTCAAATCGTTGGGAAAAGTATTACCCGAATTGGGTGTACTGATTCATATCAAATTTTACCACGGGAATATGCAGGTCCTAAGGTAGGTCCTGAAACTCATGAAATTTCAATTTTCATCAGAAATTTAATTACGTATCATGGACTAGACATGCACGTTTTCGATGTTTTACGCTTCTTGGAGACTTAGAATCGAAAATGAAGAGTTTCAGGACCTAACTCGAAGAATTTAGAATACCGTAGAAATGGAATATTACATAATGGGAAAATGTGGTAAATACTTTCACCAACGATTGCAAGAGAGTGCTGGCTTGTCATGCGGCTAACACGTGTTTTTAGAGCAAAAATTTAGTTGCAGCTAAACGTCACAGATGACGATGATCGTTCGTCAAAATATCAACAGTCATGAATTCGAGGGATTTCGGCAGTTTTGCATCGATCTTTTTATCAACACTTTACCGAAATGACATATAGAACCCTTTAGTTTGTATATTTTTCAATGTAGACTGTAAAAGACTTCAACATAAACATAAATGTCGGTAATGGGACGCGTCAGCTTATGTTCCCACTCGAGTATTCGAAACGGCATTCCCCCCAAAAAGGATATAGATGAATTTTACTTTATCGCCGTCGATTAAATTTCTCAGCGCCTTTCATATCCTCTTAAGACGTCGTGACGAGAGGTCGCTCGAGCTGGACCCAGGATTGCCTCCAGGACTCGGCGAGGACCTTAAAGAGGACCTCGAAGGACTTCGCACTTTGAGCGTCTTCCTCGAAGGGACATTTTTCTCGGCAAGGGGTAAAAACCAGGACCGTCCTTTAAACGTCAGGATTCTTGGACACGCCACTCCAGACTTTAATTAAACTAAGTTTCGGATTAACGGGGTCTTCTTTGGCGGCGACTATAAATAAGGGTGCCAAAGACGGATCAGGGGGAAAGTCAGACAGGATCCATCGGTCTTCGCGGATTAGTTTGCGATTCGAGGTCCTGAACGTACCGAGGTACCAGACGATCCTGACAATGGTCCTGCACCCGAAGGGCGCTTCGCGACTCG